TTGCCGCAGAGGCCATCCCTCCGACACTTGTGTGTTAGTGTGTGTGTGTGTGTGTGTGTGTGAACGTGCGCCGCTGACCCACTTAGCCATGCTCGTTCGTATCCCGTTAGCTGAGTCTGCCTTGACTCGCTTTCTCATGAGTTCCGTGTGATCGTACAGTCAATGAGCACCACGAGACTGCAGTCAGAAGGGACTAAGGCAACCCGCACCCAACACTCCGCTCACCTTTGTTGAGTGTGCGGACGTTGACACCGCACTGCGCCGGTTAGTAAGGGACCTGTGCACTTTTGAACATTTGAGTTTTGTTGTATACATTCGCTTATCCTTGTGTAGACGTTCGAACCCCATCCTTCCATTCGGGATTATCGAACCTACACGTCAGCCTTCAGACGACGGCGCTTAAAGTAAAGAGACCAACTCCTGTGTGTGCCTATCCGGATGCTTGCTTCGAACACGGCCTGTTGTATCACTGAATGGTCACTAGTTACCCAGGTGCGTCACCTCAGATCAAAGTTGATCATTCCATGAACAAGCAACTTGTGTTCATACTCCGAATGCTCCTGAACCAACCAAGACCACCAAGATTCACGTTTTTGTTGATCAGAATCCCGCCAAGTGACCCACTGTTCTAGGTTTGAGAATAATCGCTGAACCTCAATGTTTCTGAAAGCAATTACGCTCCACAAAGATGTCTACCAATCGCGCGGTTAACTCAAACCTGTTATCCAGTGACCCTGTCACCTCATGATTTGCGATGCAGGTATCTGTGAGTTCAACTACCTGTGAACACTATTTCAGAGGATCACTGATTCAGTTTTTGAGGTTAATGAAAAGAACCTCGAAAAACACCTTTTGTTCCCTACTCTCTACCTTTATCCAGTCAAAGTCAAAACGGGGCGATCACGTGATACTGACAGACAGCATACCAAAACGACCAATGGTAAACGCGTGAAGGTTTCGACGAACGAACCGTCAGGATTCGCACAGACTGTAATGGCAGTTACGATGGGATGCTACAGCTGAACGATGTGCAAGCCCGTGGATGACAGAAAACGAACGTGTCATTATAAAGGTAAACCAGTACAGTAAAGGATACTTACTCGGCATCGAGTCTTGCTGCGGAGCGGTCAAGTTCTTGTCCGAGTTCAGCTCGGCCATTGATGTAGATGGTAGTAAATTCTGCAGTCAGAAAGTAGAAATAAGTAGCAATCTCTGAGGGGAAATTATTGGCAATGTAAAGTAATGGACACTAGAGAAGAGCCTAAAAGAGCGTGTATTATTCCGCTTGTTTTTCAAAGGCTTGCTTACCTAGGAATATCATGAACTTGGCCGTCATTCAAGCCCTTTACAAAATGTCTTCATGTTTTGGGATGTCAGCAATGAAAACTGCTGAAACAGCACTCGCCAAGGTTGATTTCACGGATACTTTCCAGATAAGCCCCGCAAAAAATTACCCCCCGCCACACAAAAAAGATTAGAAAAAGAGGACATGAAATTTGTTCTTTTGGGTTTTTATTGAAGAGGGTGAAATTCGGACACATCATTATTAATTTGCATGAAAAGGTCAGTTTTTTTGGTTCTTCTGCCTCCAAACGAATTCACACAAGTAGGTGTCCACTAAAGATCGGTTTGTGCCGCATTGGCGTTTATTCTGCATCTTGTAGACGTACTAAAGAGATTCGATGGTTTGCGTGTGAGCTCCAGTCCTTGGATCAACAAAGTTTTCGGTATGAACACCTCTTTAGTTTCCCGGCAGATCCCTCCGAAAATCCACTGCTGGAGAAGGGCTCACCCTGCGTGGTTTTTACGGTGAGATATTAGTGTTCCATCGATCTCGACGCGTAGACCTGGGCCACCGATAACTGTTGGAGTCTGCAAAAGCCTCCGGGCGCAAACTTCGCGAAGAAAGTTCTTTCAGTCAACATTGGTCGTGTGGCTAATAGATAATTCCTCTGAGCAGAATTTGATTTTTACCAAATTTTCGGAACAGCAAAAAATGAGTAGAATTACTGTCCCTAGCTCCATCCTAGACCGCTCCAGCCAAGCTCCCTTTCGAAGACTGATTTCTTGCCGACACTGTCGGGCATTACAGCTCCACGTGTCAGAAACAGTTGAAAGTGTCATTTGGTGGCCATTGTTGCATAAACGTCGCTGATGGATCACTCCGTGGCTTTGCAAAAACCGTATTGCCGTCTCCTTGTAATGAACGAGAGTTGAAAGCGTCAGAAACTTCATTCAAGGTTTTACGTCCGAACCGAGAATATTTATGCACAAACCGAGCCTAGATGCGGATGGGGAATTGTTTTCATTAGAAATAGGTCAAGGTTGTGTGCGTACATTACGTTGGAACTGGCAAGATGTGAGGCGGGGCTTCAATTATCGCACACGCACTTTTTCATAAGTTGCGAGGCCTATCTGGGAAATACCCAATTTCACACGCTTCTCTCGACTGCCACCTCATGACTGAACTGTTCTTAGTATACACCGTCGTGCAGAAAACTCGAAGGCCTCTGTCCCATTTAAAGTTGCAACACTGCCCGTATAAAAGCGAATAAGGGGGCAGTACAAATAAATGACTTGCTTTGGAAAATTAGATAGAAAGGCTTAACACTGGTGAGTAGTTCACCTGGAACTTCCCTTAAAAACGATTCTTCACCAATAATTGCGTTCTCATCCAGCAAATCAGAGCGATTCGTTGGTTGGTTTTCGCCGAATGGCGATCCGTTCACTGATCAGAGGAAATTTGATTATAGTTAGACGTTTGTGTGATGGCGACTGGGTTGTCCGCCTGTGTTCCGATTGGACGAAGGTCAGGTGACTTTCAGGAACACAGTGCATCGATTTTCATCCTAGAAGATATACATCCTAATCGAGGGAATCAAAAAATTATCCTACTCTCTTATTGCATTCTGCCAGATAGGTTTCTGGAACAAGACCCTTAAGAAAGGTCAAATGTGGAGTCTGCATGAGGACAGTAAGTATAGAATATCTACCTGGAAAGTCCCGAATACTCATCTATGATATTCAAACGGCACATATCACTTTGGGAGGAACACTGGAAATCTGGAAAGCCTTTGTGAAAACACAAAGAAAAGCAACAATCCCAAGCTGATCTGTCTTCATTTCCCAAGTGGAACTGACCAGATCAACGTGACACTCTTCCACCGTTTCCGTGGGATTTCTCAAACGCCCGCCATCCAGTTATGGCATCAAATAATGTCCCGAGCGTCTTCGTGGAAACTCAAAATAAACTTCCCGACCGAATAGGAGTGTCATTAAGGTATTTTTTAAGAAGCTATTCCCCTGGGCAGTGGGTGCGATTGGTTTTAACTTGTTTAGGAACGTGTGTGGAAATTTGTTAGGAACCACAAAGTGTTGATCGCATGGCTTAGGTTGGTGGAATTTAAACCGGCAGTCGAATTTCGTCACCTACACCTGATGAGTCCCTACCAGGATAAAGCGCGTAAAGATCGCTTCAACAAGACCTGAATATCAGGTCCTCCTCTAACGTTTGTCCTCTGAAAGCCTCCGGCAACATTTACTAGGCATGTTCAGATTTTGCTTCGTGTCATTAGGTTGGCTGGTCATCACGGATCAGAACAATCGTCATCCCGGTGAGTCCACACCAAAAGGTGGAGGTAAGCATTGAACTCAAGTTTCACTCTGATTTGAGCTCATCATCAGTGCTTACCCAATGGCTGTGCCAGAGTCCAAACTCCGCACATTTGACGTGCGAGGCGAGCGTGCAACCACTACTCCACCAGTGCCCGCTGGACTCACCCGATTTTTCTGAATCTGAATATGTGAACATGTTCGCGCTTGAATAAGTCTGTGGCGCTACCTGACTGGGAAGCCCAGACTGGCGCGCCAATCGATCAACCCAACCAAGGTACGTTACTGGGTCGTCGTTTAAGACGTCGGGTGTTCCGCTCAGACAATTCGTTATTTCTCCACGCAACAGCAGGTTCATTCACGAGGCCTACAACGCTAGGCCTCGGTTCAGTTAAAATCCATCAAGGCAGTGCGCGTTTGCACAGAACATATCGGGCACACCAATCACATCGCCCAAGCGTGAACACGTTCGCCGGTTCAGACGTGGAAATTCAAATGCGTCCAACGTGCGTTGGTGGAGTAGTGGTTGCACGCTCGCCTTGCATGTCAGATGTCCGGGGTTCGAATTCGGCACGGCCATTGGATATGCATTGCTGATGAGCTCTGATAGGAGCGAAACTCGAGTCCAGTGCTTCCCTCCCTCTGGTGTGACTCACCAGAATAATTACACCAGAACAGGAGGACGACCGTTCAAACGAGAGTTGTGTGGCTATAAACAAAATACCTATGCCGCAAAACCCCAAGACTGCAAACTCCATATCCCCAAACGGATGCCTAGTTTTAGGGATACTCGTGAGAAATTTTGTCTGCCTATGAAGCCCTATATCAGCTGCTGCGGCAGGGGAGTAAGAACACTGTTTAATCTGTCTAGACCAAGGTGATCCGTCTTCTGCTTGGCCGATAAACTCATTTTATTCGGTCCACAAATGCCTTTTTCAGTAAACGAGAGCGCTCAATGAACGGCTCAGCTAGTCAGAATGATCATGGTTTTCCTTGAATTGTTGAATTTTGTTTTTCGGGTCAGTGTCAGTATTGGAAACAATTCTATCCTAGAAACTTCCGGATATGCATTTTTTCTCTGAGAGCCAGTCTTATTAGCTAAGAAACAATAAACTTTAGCGTATAAACGTGAACGGTATGACCAGAATCACTCTAGTTATGTAAACATATGAATCATTGATAGTCAAAGGTTCTTTTAAAACTCTTCTGCTGTATGATCATTGATAAAGCCTTCAATTTCGTATAAATTGTTGGACAGTATCTTCAATCATGAGTATTTTGGTCTATTTTTGGTAGCGTGCTTTTTTCTGAGCAAGCGTAGAATTTTGCCACGCGACATTCTATGTCCGGTGCAACTTCGAAGCTCAGCACTTTCTTCTGGTCACCTCTTAACTTTGATTCAAATTTGACACCATAGATTCCTTCCAAAAGTGTATAGGATAACCACGGTCACTGCAACCTAAACTTGCCTGTATCGTGTTACTGGTCCGGATACCACGTGACACCAAGCCCAGTCGACTTCCAATCTTCACATCTGTCCCATTAACACCAACCAATCTGATTGCCACTGGCTTGGTGAGTGACTGGTTCGATGAGATTTGCCACAGAGCGGTGTATGTCTGACCATTCTGTGGTGGAATCGATTGGATGACATAGGGTATCCAGTTGTGATTGGTCGACCGGGGCAAGTGGGCGGAGGAGGCGTTTTGAAACCCAGCCGGGGTGGAGATCGATCGAACTAACCGGCTGGTCGTCTGATGTGCTGGGTTTGAACAGGTATCGGGAATCCTGAAGAAAGATATTAAGTGGAATTACAAAAGGGTGCAAACCAATAGTCCCCCCATCTACACTTTTCGTTAAATCCTTTGAATGGCATCAGACAGCAGCATAGTAGCTTAAAAATGAATTCCTGAAAGGTGGAATTTTGCGTGAATTATTGTGAGCACACCAAAATGAAAATAGCTATAAATAGGACCAGCGTGAACAAAAAGTGATCACATTGTTTGAACTGCAAACTTATGTGAACGGATCTGTTCACAGTTCGCCGACAAAGTGGTCTGAATGAGCAGTCTCCGTTTCCGGAAACCGACTTTCACGTCCGCAGTCGGCTTCAAATTTCAGTCTACTTTTACCTAATAACAGATCAGACTATAGAGAATGTCACAATTTGAATACGGGAAGTGCGTCAGGCAAAGTTGGGATGAAATTAGCCGAGTGACTTGTGTTGGACTGTCTTTATTCAGCCATAGTGTATGGGTGACCCGACCGGTTGAGGATTTTGTCTCTTTCATCAACAGGAGCACTTTGGCACAAACTGGGAGATAATTGCAACTTCCTAGACAGGTACCGCATAAATGGTGAAAAACCGAGTTGAAAGAAACCGGTTGTTCTGTCCCCTAATCATTTTCAGTGTGAAACTCACTCTAATCGCAACGAAAAAGGACCGGTGGGCAATGGTGCAAGAGAATCATAGGACTTGACACCCAGACTCACATTCAATGTGGTGCCTGCATAAGCTGCTGTTCGAGGAAACCAAGCTGCCACATTCTCACCACAAACTTCACTCTTTACACCGTCACTTTCCACATACCCCAACATCACACGGTGATCAGGTTTTTCCAACCCCCCGGTGACCAGACAGTCCTCATTACGTCAATTAATTTTTTTCCAGGGATATTCTCCCGCATTGTAGAACCATAGGCCAATTTTCCTCTCTTGTCTAAAGTAATGGTGACGTACCAATGATATTTTGGTCAGAAGACTTTGGAAATGTCGCTCAACGCACTTGACTCATCTCCACTTTCCCAAACGGTTCTCATTTCCTGAGTATACGTGTCTCCCTGTGATCACCTGAAAGAATCGCGTATGTGCACATCAGCTGGGTCGTCATTCTTGATTATACGAATGTCTTCACGAAGTACAAAGCCACCGTTGATGGTGACAGGGGCAACTTCACCAGTTAGGATGGCTGGCCATCTATCGTGAGTTGTCCTTCTTTGAACCTAGAGAACTCGAATTCCATTCCATAACCCTTCGTTTACAAAACGATCACTTCGCTTACCAATCAGAGATCTCTCCCCCCCCCCCACCCCCTATACCCATCCATCTTCGGGTGCTACGCTCAGACATAGGCGGTGTTTAAAGCCAGAATTCTCCAGTTCCTTTTTGCGAAAAAACTACCCGGAATGACCTCCATCGTGGATTATTTCAGTTCATACTTTCCTACGAGTATTTTCCATAATTATGTACACCATGCTCTAGTTCTTTCATCTCCACTTTGTCTAAGGTTTTGAGTTTTTCGCCTGATCGGGCGTACAATACCTGACCGAGTGGTGGCGTATGTCTCACGCCTCTGCTCTGCTGAGTTGAACAAGCATGGTGAAACTCAAGTACCACTGCTTGACGTCCTGACTTTTAATGTTTATGTTTGTTATATCTGCTGATTCCTCAATCTGTGGTATCTTCTGCTGACCCGCTCCAGTGCCTAGTGTCGGAGAGAAAAGACTCACAGAAGGGAACACAACAGCTGTATTCCGAACAAGCGAGTGCGAGAGCAAAAGTTACAACGGCCCCACGCTATTTAAAGGGGACTTTCTGACATTGATCCAGGCTGTCTGATAGGCGTTAGTGATCACCCATCAACATCGATCGTGCCTCTGTGAAAAGCCTGAAAGCTGATCACATTCGGTCGTGCTTCTGTGGCGCGCAAGAACACTCATCAGGTTTTGCTGAATTGATTGAATGATTGACTGGCCTGGATGCTTGCCGGCTTTCCAGTTGAGTTTTTGGTGGAGCAGTAGGTTCCGGGCGTTCTGAAGTTGCTTTCAGGAATCTGACCATCCTGATAATGTTATGTAATTCTATATTATACCGTACTACATTATATTATACACTATATTATATATTATATTATGCTATGCTGTGCTTTATCATATTGCATTACATTATATTATGTTATATTGTATTATATTACATCGTATCATATTATATTATGATATATTATCTCATTGTATTTTTTCAAAAATTATTTTCCCAGGGCTCTTGCCAGCGTTTAATTATTCACCATTCCGAACCTGTTTATCACAAAAAACCACTGTCCTGCGGGTTCTAGGGGCCAACATGCAGGTGACGGGAAACGCGATCGATAAAGCTGCCTGTTCTCGTGGAAACTGCGCGAAATTCAACCGTACCAACTCCTCACTTATCCTCATCTCAGTTTGCTCAACGTACTCAGATTTCACGGTCCCATCTACTCCTACTTTATTTTTATTGTTTTTTTATTGTTCTAGATGTGTGCTTTGATTACCTAAAGTCAAACCGAAACGGTGCGCTTCTCTATTTTACACCTTCAAGTATTTTATCCTTCGTTTTAGAGACATACTGTTTGGAATTTTTCAATCATTTAAAGAGGTACCACCGCCGTGAAACTTTCAATTTGAAACACGACCCGAAAGAAGGAGTGTCACCTCAATGACTACAATACAGAGGTCCTCCGAGTAGGACACATCTGCTGGGTAGGTGTGATCCCTTTCTGAAGTCCCGATTCAAACTCGATCATGACATCTCGACCGCTCGGCTTGGGCAACCTTACACTATCTCCGCCCTCGTGTTTTATTCCAGGAGGCAAGGAAGATAGCACCGGAAGGGACGAGGTTCCTACTGGGGAATCGACCATATTCCTGTTATCGCACAACAGCCGAATGAGCTATGCGTCGCTCGCACATAAAATGCCGCTGGGGAACACATAATCTGCAACTTTTTCATTCTTTCAAAAAAAACCCTTACACTATACGTCACCTGCTTTTTAGTCTTCTTTTGAGCTACCTGATTGGTCGCCCTCAGATATGTCATCATGTAAAGATCATTGTCTACAATGAAGTAGTATCACGTGACCACGTGATGTGACTAGTAAGTCTTCCATCTTGGTGGTTCCCCATTCGATGAGTCAGTCAGCACGTGAGGGCATGATGTGGATGAGGCATCAGTGACGTAAGTTACAAAGTACGAGATGACCCTTTTCGGTTTAGTCTTCAGCTATTAAACGGGAGATGGTGAGTTCGGTTCCCCCATCTTTTTCATTTAGAAATTCGGCACATCCCAACGTGGAAAACAGCTTTGTGAATCAGTAATTTTGCTCTCCTCTTGGAAGAGTTATGGCTCTTCGTAAGTGATTTCCTTCAGAAAGCTTATGGGCACCGAAGAATGGGTCTACAAGTATAGACGTAACACACTACTCGTAGGGTTGCTGAAAACACTTCCACAGCCCACGACAGGTTTCGCCCTCCCTGGAGCTCATCAGGTGGGCGCAACCCTCGAGTTCCGTCAACCTTATGTTCTACTTGAAACCAAATTGCACGAAATTAGGGAAGTACACTGTCAGGAAGGTTAGCTTTGTGAAAACCACCACTGAATGCCCGAAATCTACCGAGACTCTGAGCTGTGTTGAATGGGCTGCGCATCACAGGCTTGTATCAAACCCAGACAGCGCGAGTCAGCGCTGATCAACGTCAGACAACGTCCCCGCAATATGCAACACGTCACAGCCTCGCACCAAGGCCAGACCACGTGCGTCAGCAGTGAACCAAGTTCGGACAGTGTCCCTCCAATAAATAGCTTGAGAAGGTTGTACATTTGCACTCGCTTGTCCAGAATATAGCTGTTCTGTTCCCTTCTGTGAGTCTTTTTTCGGCACCTAGGCGCTGGAGCGGGTCAGCGGCAGTTACCACAGGTTGCTGAATCAGCCATTTGCATTTTAGTTTGGTTTCGACCGGGGGAGACTCACCTGGAACCCAGCTGAATTTCCCGTTTATGGTGTTTTTAAACTTTACTCAGTGTATTTCGCTAAGGGGGTTACAACGCTGGTGGAATGCATCTGACCAGACGGTTTTAGACACAACACCCTACTCACATTATTCAGGTGAGTCTCTCGTGAACATCAAACTGGTAAAAAACTGGGCGTATTGTTCAAGTAATTGGGTAATCATTCCAGAATAGTCTTCACGCACAGTTTAGAGTTTGAATGAAACGTTCCTTGAGTGGTTAAGTGACAATGCGAAGCGTGATAGTGAGATTGCGAAAAGGGTTCCCCTTTATTTGAGATGAGGTATTTCCAACCTTATCAGAAGATCATCGTTCGTAGTTTGATAATAGTACAGATAATGACATTCTACGTCGATTGAATGTTTCCAAATATATTTGGTCCTGAACTAAATAAAGCTATAAATATTCATCATGAGATTTCTCAGATATGTTGAGAAATCTATCGTGGCTAACCGTTTTTTCCAAACTTCTGTCTGAATTTTCAAATTATCTTGTAGACTGCTGTTCAGTGAGCTTGTGATCAATGTTGGCTTTGCATGTATGTGACACATAAATAGAAACGCTGCGTGCTGGCGTGGTGTGAAAGGTAACCAAGGTCGTTTCCGAGTCACCTCCAACATGAGCGAAGCTCAAGAATTCACTAAATGACAGCTCAGTGTCACAGTTGTACCATCGTGCTTGCTATTGTCCCCATATAAGGAGCCTACGAGTTTTCCGATTTTATTGATTTTTTTGCAACTGAAAAATAAAACAGAAAATGTACTGCGGCAAATTTTACGCAATCGAAAAGTCGGTAAACCCTTAATGAATAAGGCTTAATACGTATAGAATGCGCCCATTTGCATAAAAATTTGGTTTCCACATAAAACTCGGACGAAACTCTCGTTTACGATGTTTCATCTGGTGCGACAGTATATTTTCGAAAAGAAAGCTACTCAAAAGTTACTGAAATGTTCTTGACAACCCAAAATTGGTTTCGGCCTTCTTGGGTCTCATCAGGTAGGTACAGTTACCGAGTTTCCATCGAACTAATGTTCTACTTGGAGCAAAGTTGCAAACAAGTTTGGTTTTTCGAAAGACTCGCCTCGGGGACTGCGCTTACCAGATGGGCTCCAAGAAGGGCGAAACTGGTCGAAAGGTTGTCGAAGAATTTTCAGCAACCTCATGAGTAGTGTAGTACGTCTATACGCGATATGTCGAATATCGTACTAAATGAAACATCAGGCGGCCTCGTACGGTACATTCAGTTAGTTAGAAACATGTTGAAAGAGAGATTCTGCTGGTTTCCAGGCGAGTCTCTCGCAAAACCACATTTTTTACAAATGAGTGTATTTCGCTAATGTGCACTTTGAGTTCATGTAGAACATAAGGATGATGGAAACCCGGGGACTGCATCAATCTGACGAGCCCAAAGTGGAAGAGCCGAACTGATCTCGAGCTACCAGAGAGTTTTCAGCAACTTTGTGAGTAATATGTTACGTCTATTAGTTTGAGCGGTCCTAATGAACGGTTTGCGTGTGGACTCACCGGAATAATCCTATCAGGCGAAATACTTCAAGTAAGGTGCTAATTAAAAAAAGTGAGTGAATTTCACAACAACTCAGGAGTCATGACTACTTCTCTGGCATCTGTAAGTTTGCTAGATGTTGATGGGCGACTAAGTACAATTTCACATGTATCCCCCGTTTTCAGCATTATCCAAAGAAATTTGGATTGCACATGAAGCGCCTCACGTTTCCGGCAGATCGATATTTAGTATGAGCTAATAGGTTTCAGACAATGGAAGCTCCCCACACTTGAGAATAATGGAGATTTTAAGACCAGGTCTGAAGGACGAACCCACAGAAGGGTGGAACTCTAGCGGATAGCTTTTAAGAAGTGTCGTATCAAGAAAGTGTACTTCAATATCTCGAATAGATTCAGCTGAGTTCCAAGCGGGTATCCCGTGAAAACCAAATTCGTGTGTGAATGAATGTGGTGATAGAATTGCGTGCAGTTTGTGTTCAAGTAGAACACAGAGTTGTTTTATATGAGGGTGATATGAGCAGTAAAGACATTTGGGGCTGGAGCTACGGGTATGGCATTGGTAAAGAGGAACGGGTAGGTGCAGAATAAAACCCCGAGAACTCTGACAATTTGCCTGTTGACGGACAAACTAAAAATTCGTACTATATTCCCAATGAAGACGATTTATCTTTGTAAGGTAAATAGCACATACAAAAGTGTTTTTTCAACGCCAGGTTGATCCTCAATGAAGGGATATCCTTGGTTACATGCCAGATACCTGGTTGTCTAATTGAATCGTATACAAATGCGTACACGGGTTGATCCTCAATGAAGGGATATCCTTGGTTACATGCCAAGATACCTGGTGTCTAATTGAATCGTATACAAATGCGTACACGGACCTAACAAGTAGGCGTGCAGGCTTAATTTGAATGCGGTCCAGCCAAAGACGGATAGCGCGAATAACTGTAAGTTCTTGGTGGAAATCTTGAGTAAAACATATGAAAAATTTTATGTGAGATATACAAGTAATCCACGTTTAACGATGATTTACCGATGTCACATGACTTGTACTCAGTACGATTTCATCTCAGTGGTGGTTCGCACCGACGAATTATGCAACGTGCTGTTCCGGGAGTTTAATGCATGTCAAACTGGAATCGCCACATAGCTTTCTTAAATTCCGTGTTCGAAAGTCTGAGGTTGGGAACAAACTGTGATCTCGGTTCAATTCTATCTTTTCTAGAAGAGTTGTAGAATCTTGATAAAAAACAAACCAGTTTGACAGCAAACTACTGGCTGGGTATTCAACATGGTTGGATCTTGACCTCTGATCATCGATCAATTCGGGTTGGAATGAAATTCATTAAATTCTTCCTGTTCTCAGAGGGGACTTCTGTTACACTGTCTCCCTTCGTTCGGCTCTAAAACCCTTTCGGTGCCTAGCTGCCATGCCACCCAAAGCAAGCACGATGGCTGGGAAACTACCTGTTTGCCCAAGCCTAGACAGGGAAAGTCGAGAGGTAGAGTGGGTCGGGTTCGAACCATGGACCTTTCTGTCAGTAAATTCGGAAATAGACACTCCAAGACAATGAGACTAGAATATTTTGAGCTTGTTCACACCGTTAAGCAAGAAGAAAGCGGTTAAATCACAACAGAACAATCACACACAAAACTGTGAAATTGAATGCGCCCAACCAGACACAAGAGATTGAGACCAACTCAGCTTCATAGGGAACCAATCAAACTACGCGAAGACTGCTTTCAGAACTACCAGATACTGTTTAGAAGCTATATAATCACATGCAGAAGAGGAGAGATCCACCCACTCAACCCTGCACTGACGATGTCACCTCGATTGGTGATGAAGCTGTCGAGCTCGGTGAACAGACCAACAACCCAGCAACGCACCCTGGCTACCTACATTCCACAAGATCGCCAATATCATTTGACTATGTTTTTACAACACATTCATGAAGAAAAGCACTAGATTCGAGCCCAGTGCTACACTATTGATTTCTGGAACTCTCAAATGACGTTCCGAAGATATCGAACAGGTAAGTGTTGGTTTCCCACGAGCTGAGTTTACCCCAACCATGAATAGTTCAGAACCGTCACCATATGCTGTCAGGATGTAAATATTAGCTTTCGGGAGACACCTTCGATCTTTTTACCCGCCCCTACTCCCCAAAGGTTGCGTCGGTCATCTTCAGGGGGAGCTTGCCACCGTTAAATTTGGGTTATCTTGTACGCTGAGGTTACGGTGCGATGCCAGGGCATGGTTCAGTTGTCCAACCAACTTTGTGACTCGTGAATTCCATTCACACTCGCACAAAAAAAAACAGGCAGTCGGTACTTTGGAATGAAGTTGCATTTTCCTCACTGTTCAACATGGTCGTATTTGTATGCCTTGGTCAGAACATCACACAACCTGTTTCAAGGTCGTCTGTAATAGATAAGAGCAACCCCGTGCACAGCTGATTTCAAAGTGGACAGAATACCTGACTGGTAATGTGTAACGTGATAAGCAGGGGCTGTTTCACGAGGACGGGGTATCAAAAAGAAGGAAAAAGCGCCATCGGATGCTTTTTAAATACGACTATCGATTCACTCACTTCACGACTGATGAATTCAAACTGCGGGGAGGATAGAGGAGTTTTTGGAGGTCCTGCATCTTTCGAAGCCCCATGAGTAAACACACAATCAGGAGTAGGATTATGGTAACCGAGCAGAGGGCAGTCAGAATGACCGCGGTAAGGGAGACGTCCCCACCGTCATCTGAAAACAAACAGGGTTTAATGTGCTCTGGATAATTAAACTTAACTCTCTCCAGGGAGGGTTAGTGCACAAAATTTTGGAAGAAGATAAGAAAAGTTCAGCTGGGCTAAGTTGAGTCTCTCGTTAAACGAAACCAGAGAGAAGTTGGCGAACTTCATAAGTTCCTTATTTCTTTACAAAAAATCATTGTATGACACATAGGATATCATATCTACAAAAAGCGATTCACACACCACAGCACGACATCAGTGATAACAATAAATCTTGTGTAGAAAAATTCCCGACACACTCCTGTTAGGGACCGGGTTCCATGGTCTTAAAGCGATAATTTCTATCAGCCTTTGAACGCACTGATTCGAAATTGGAACTTCGGTAATGGGGAAAGGATTAAAGATATGTCATTAAGTTATTGGAACTGGTTACTTGCTCACTACATCCTAAATCAGCGTAGGATGTTGCGTTTGAAATTCGGGATCTGTCCCACAGGAGTTCTGGGGATAATGTTGGAGTTCACCTAACCGAGTGAGCAAACTAAAATGGCGCACGAATTTACACCCTTTTTTGTCGGCATTACCTTCAAAATTCATAATCGTTCTAGGACTGCGGATATTAGATAAAATGAATCTTTTCCAGAAACGTTAGCTGACTTTTGCATTTGAAAATTAACAAACTAACAAAAAATCCGAGTGCAGGTTCGCAAAATCGATAAGCAGTCAGCGCCTGTCAGTAGCGCCTGCCTATAGTTGACCGATTGATGACCGATTCATTTTTGTTTCTTGAGTTGACCATCACTGAGCACAGGGGGTCGGCTCAGGAATCTGATATCGATTAACCCCAGAAGCCGAACTACATCACTTTGGTTGTACTGGTCATCCATTGGACAAACGCCACGCTCACCACATGAATATTGCTCACTCCTTAGGCTATCTAACTAGTGAGTACATTTCTTCTCTTTGGTACAGTTTGTTCACCAACGCTCTGGAGTGATTTCTTTTCATTTTGAAAAATAAAATCAATCATAACTTGTAAATAGTCGATTAGGCCGACTGCCACAACTCTGCTACCCTTGTCTTTTCTCAGGCTTCCCAGGAAATTTGTCGCATCTATAACTCAACCGTTTATCTTCTTTTTCTCCAATGATAGGGACGGAAATTGAAACAGTCTGAAAATTTAACGTCGAAAAACAACACACGCATCCGTACTTCCCACTGGATGAACAGAAAAACTTCCAACATCTCTCTGTGGTTCAGTCTGCCCAAGTGTGTGAATTTCAACTATTTTGGACAAGTTACACACATGGGAATGTTTAGGCTAGAACGTTCGCGCATTCTGATTTTGTCCTTCGTGAAGTTCTCTAGACGAGCAAGCAATCCTTATTTCAAGTGTCTGTAGATACAACTCAAACCATGCCGCCGTCTGAGAGCGCCAACAAACATCTCTTTGAGCTGGACGGCCGCACAAACCAATTTTTTCTTACAGACGGACTATGCCGTATTTATTTGACTGCAACAAAAACCGATAATCTCAAGTGACGAAGTTTTAGCATTGATTCAAAAAATTGTGCTTATCCACGGCACACCATGAGCAAGAATATGAGTTAGACACAGATCTGCGGTTACTTACCCATGAATCCACGTGCTGTCACATTTGACCATTCGTACATACTCATCGTTTTTGCACGGTGAAGTCATTCGAACTGGACCTTTTCACCCAGTTCTTGTGATCACTTATTTGTTGACCAATCAGAATATTCGGATGTCACCATCCAACCAAAATCCAGATAAATGGATTTTTCTACATGGCTTGCTGTTGGTTACAATCTCGACACAAGATGCATCGATTTGTTTAAAATGCACAGAACGACGTTCAGGTAGAACTAATGCGTCCAAGTGTGTCATCTTGGCCACTTGTAATAGATGCTTTAGAGGAATAAAAGCCCCACGCAAGCGAATAACTTATCGCCAAAACTGTCATGTCACAATGAAAAAATCAACATAAATTCTAAATAGCTTGCCAAGTTTAACTTGATTTGTCAATCAGACGCCAGATTATTGTCATGAGTTTTCTATTTTTGTATAATTGTTCAATATTAATGTGGCGTGCCTTGTATTGATGGCCGAAAGAAGGTTAGGCTGTTAGTGTACCTGCGGAAGCGTTTCATCCTTATAAATGAACGTCAAAAATTTGTCAGCTGGTGGTAATGTCTCCAGGGTCAAGGACAAAATGTTTGAACAATCAGTTCGTGTTAGAAAATATGGCTACTTACGGTCAACCAGTTGGATGGGAACAGAGCCGCTGGACTGTTTCAGATTTCTCAACAAGTTAAGATCACCGCACGCCGCGGATCGTGTTTTCTCGTTGAGAGTTGCTTAGATTGGTTTTTTAGCTAAGTTGCCTCCCCGGTTCAGTGCCTTAGTGCTGTAAAAAGACTCCCTAACAAGGAGCACACTAGCTTTGTTGCAAACAAATGGGCGCATAATTTACAAAGGGCCTCGTGGCATTTGAATGGCACTTTCCATCGATTTTATTGATCGACTGACCTGGATGCTTGCCGGCGTCTCTATTGAGAGTTTAGTGGAATTTGAGGGTCTCAGGAAACTTCGGGCATTCTGGAGTTGTTTTCGTGACCGTTGCTTTCCTGACAGCCCATCTGTTTCCACATTACAGTTGTTCTTTTGCCCCGTTTAGCAGAACTCATATTAGAAACTTTAGCAACTTTTAAAGAAGGGGAATGGGAAAGTTCTTCTCGGTAAAAAACAAATGTAGAGTATGTGACAAAACTTTTACCCTTCACACTGAACAATTGTAGCTTTTCTCATCATGTCAACAACTACCCAGATTTAATGTTTACGTCCTCGATTACCTTGGTGAAGCTTCCTCGGGTACCTGAGTGAACACTGAAATTCTGCCCCATTAGTTCGTCACCTTTAAAATTCCCAAAAAAGGTTATTTATGATGTCCATTCTTCAAAGTGGCTAACAACCTTCCCAAGAAAAGTCTATTTATGGTGTTCATTCTTCAAAGTGACCAATAACTGGCTTGTCTGCCAACAGAAGGATTGCTTTGGCTGAGTTACCGCGACTAACCAACCGTACAAGAACGTTTATCTGTCACGTGAGAAATGTTTGTGTACTTCGAGGTCTGAAAAACTGGTCCAGTGAGAAAGACTTGACCGTTTGTCTCTTGAGCATAACTTGAAGTGTGTAAAATTGCTTTGTTCCAAAATGAGGCATTAAAATCACATTAGAATCACACACACTTTTGAAACTAATTCGGTGTTTACGGGAGACTTACCCGAATTCCAGCTCAAAACGTTTGTTCATGGTATTCTTCAATTGAATGCTGCACAAGGTCCAACCCATGTTTCAGTCAGTACGACATCCCGTCTATAGCAGTATATTTCCCTGAAGGAAACTACTCAAAAGCCCCTGAAATCTCACACACTGTCATGAAATTAAAAGCTGGCATACACATCAATGCAGTTTGCTAATTTCGTGCACTTTAGATACAGGCAGAGCACAAGGTTGACGGAAACTCGAGGAAAGCGCCTATCGGATGAGCTCCAAGAACTGACTGTGGACTGTCGAAGGATTTTCAGCAACCATGAGGTGTCCTGACACAGCACATTTGGTTGAAAAGAATGTAGGCAAGAGATTCAGCTGGGTTCCAGGTAGGACATCTGTCGAAACCATACTGGAATTCAAATGAGTCTAGGTCACTAATCTCGTGCAATTTGAGTTCAGGTATATTATAAAATTGACGAAAACTCGGGACCGCGCCTATGTGATGATGATCCTGGGCCATGTTTTCAACAGCCTTACTGGTTATGAGTTATCTGCATTAGTTGAGAAGATAGACGCATTTTTTGAGGTAACAACGGAAATTTGGTGTGGATATTTTCATGAGGTATTCACACAAATACTTAGTTTCTGTAGGTCCTAACCCGAAAATCTGTCACATAAATTAAAAAACTTTCTACTTAGGCTTATTCCTTTAGCATATCGAGTACATTTCTTTCCAGTGTTCGTAAGGCCGAGAACAACAAGAGACAGAAATGGACGTTATACAATATTCACAATGTCGCTGAAAATCCATCGACAGCCCACGACCGGCCTCGCCCTTATTGGGACTCATCAGGTAAGCGCAGTCCTCGATGTTTCTTCATTCTCATGTACTATCTGAACCCAAATTGCACGAAATTAGCGAATATACACTCATTTGCAAACTAATTTGGTTTGTTGCTGAAAATCCATCGACAGCCCACGACCGGTTTCGCCCTTCGACTTTGGGCTCATCAGGTAGGCGCAGTCCCCGAGTTTCCGTCAACCTTATGTTCTACTTGAAACCAAATCGCACGAGATTGGCGAACTACACTCATTTGAAAACAAATTTTTTTTCCGAGAGACTCGGCTGGAACCCAGCTGAATCTCTCGTTTATGAGTGCATTTCGCTAAGCAGTCTACAGACGTAGTGAAATGCATCTGAGCAGGTGGTTTCAGATACAACACACTAGTCATATTACTCAGGTGAGTCTCCCGTGGAAGTCACACAGATGAGTCTATTTGTCGAGTAATTTGTTTATTAGGCCAGAATATTGCAGTCTACAGACGTGGTGGAATGCATCTGAGCATGTGGTTTCAGACACAACACACTAGTCATATTACTCAGGTGAGTCTCCCGTGGAAATCAAACAGATGAGCCTAGTTATCGAGTAATTGGTTTATTAGGCCGGAATATTTTTGTTTTAAGTAATAAACCAACTTCACTAGGGACAGAAATACTTTTTTATTATTGAGGATTGCAAGGTAGTCTGAATGTCTACTAGCATTATTTTCTTCTGGAATACAATTTATTAGTTATAAACTATGTTCAGTGATTCCACCTGTTACAGTTTTGATCACCTGGAACTGTCAGAGCGTAGGCGGTACATTCAAGCATTAGGGTCGTTGGTATCCCCATTTGGTTTGGGGAATCGAGTAGCTACGTATTGAAGGTGATAGCTTTGATGCAAGAGCATCGTTGATTGACCGTATGGGTCTTCTCTGCTAGTTTCATAGACCATTAGTGAGTTGGGTCCAGGGGTCCCCATCCAGGCAGGCGACAATTTTTTAACCGTCTCCGTTTTTTGATCAGGTCATACACTCTCCAACTCTCGGTCGCTTCTACTCAAGACAAGACTGAGTGAAAACAGTTCTGTGAGACGAATTGTCCTCTGCCATGTGGAGTACATGCCCTAACCAGCACAACTTTGAGTACTTCACCTATCGCGGGAGAGTTAATTATTGCTAGAACAATCGGGTGCACCTCAGCATTGCTAATCCGATGTTCCTACCAGACCCAACCTCCTACCTGACATCCTAAAGACTGACAACTTTCCCATGTCCTCTGTTTGCAGAGATCGCTTTTCTGATCCATCAAACAGTATAGATCTCAGTACTACAGTGCAAACTCTGCTCTTGACAGACAAACTGACGTCACCTCGTCGCCATCCGTATTGGAGGTTGAAAAAAGCTCCCCTGGCCTTTTCGATTCGAGAATTCATCTGCAGCCGGAATCTATGCTAGCGTCCGGATAAACAAATTTACCTACCACATCGATTGGGTCATCTGCAAGCACGAGGAATGGTTGAATATCACAACACCTCGCCTAAAGTGAACACAAGCTAATATTTTACTCGCCTCCCATAATTTGATCAACCCACACCAAAAATAAGAAAGAACTGGACTGAAACTGTGGTCTTATTAAATCATGTCAGCCGAGCATATCTTTGATAGCGTTGGAATGCACGCCGAACGATAACAAGTAATCACATATCAGACACTCCGTGAGCAGTGTGACTAGCAAAGCCTGCGTTCATCCAAATTCTACGAGTTTCGCAACTACTCATAAGTAATCAAACTAAACTGCCTCAAAGGATACTAATGTGACGCTCTTGGCCGAGGCTTTTTGTCTTCACATTTTGGCTCGGAGATTCCTTGTTGTTCTCGGCTTTTCAGCATAGACAAGTTTTACTTACAGGACGAAAACTCCGGAGGAAAGGCCACCAGGAGGGTTACTCTATCTTCGTTCTTTCGACCATCATGTCACACCATTTTGTTGGCCTTACTTTCCGTTTGTTCACCCTCATGAAAGAATAATTTTGACAGATGAAAAATTAAATTGGCTGATTGATTCACCTGTCAAATCCTGGGACAAGTATTTTCAGAGCATAGCAATCCTCTGACCTCATTTTCTTAATCAGTTGAGTTGAAAACCCAATGGAAAGTTTTGTTTAAAATTGGTTACTAAGCGTGCTCCATTGGCAACCAACAGCGCGCGAAGCTGGAGTAGGTTTGAAACACTCAATGATTTCGAGAAATACACCGATTTGCAGATCAACTTGGTTTCCACGAGGGACTCAACTGAATCTCTCGTTTATGATATTCTACAACTGAATGTGCTGCACACGGGTCGCCTCATGATTCAGTTGGCACGATATTTGAGATATCGCAGAATATTTTCATGAAGGAAACTATTCACAAGGTTAGTGAAAACTCTTCAACAGCCCACCACCGGTTTCGCCCTTCTTGGGGGTTGACGAAAACTCGGGGACTGCGCCTACCTGATGAGCCCCAAGAAGACCGAAACCGGTCGTGAGCTGTCGAAGAGTTTTCAGCAACCTTGTGAGTACTTTCAATGACTTCTTCGGTGTACCACATGACCATAATCTACACCAATCGGTAGTGTATTTGAACTCACATTTTATACCTGAACTAGTGAAAATGGTCGAGCGGGTTTTATTTCTTGTTTCAAACTTTTGGTTAGATATCATCGCTGGGGCCTTAGAGGGAAACGTGTGAGCTTCTTAGAACCAGCACACAGTGTTCTCCGTCTACAAATGAAGGCGACTGCACCCAGCTGAGAAAGTTGCAGCGGTGAAGCCGTTAAAACAAACCAAAACGAACGATCTCCCACTCACCGCGTGAGATCACGTGTTTTTTTAAAGCTTTAGCTGTGAATCCTTGTACGTTCAGCCGTCCGCACGTTTGTGAATGACATGATCGTTATTATCGTTCAGGTGCAACCTAGTTGCCATACCACCCGAAGAAAACACGAATCCTGAGTTACTCTCAGGCTGTCCAAACCTAGACAGGAACGGCCGTGGTACCGGGAGTGCGCTGAAACCACAGACCTTTCATCTAGGAATTTCGTATCTTTACCAGTGAGCCATATCGCACCTAAAATTTGTTACTTCCTTCGTAAACTTGTTTCGAAGAACACAATTCAATCTCCGAGATAAAAGTACAATCTTTCAGGAGCCACAAGCCAATTCATCATTTGGAGGAAAAAACAGAAATGGCGTAGTAACTGAAAATGGTGGAGAACAATGTGGACAAATTCATTCAGTTACAACCAAAAAGCCCTCTTGGTGTAAAATTCAGCCAACACGCGCTTTTGTCACCTTCCCACTTTCTCCCTTGAACCCCACTCTCTCAGTTCAGACGCGGCACAGACTGTCGGACGATGAATCCGAAAAAATCAATAAACCACGTGATTCAAAACGTCTCCTTCACGTGTGTGAATCAATTAGTCCTTTGACTGGGTTTATTTGGAGCCAGCTTTGACGTCGTTGTTTATTTATGGCGCTGGTAAACAGAATTTAAATTCTGTTTGAAAGTGAACTGGTTTGTTTTGTTTGACAATGCGGTAGGTTGAACGATTTGAAAAGTATTTAAAAGAACCAATCACACAACCAAGTGTGAATGGATGCGTGACTCACTACTTTCGACAGAAACGGAAGCATTCCAACTAACAAAAAGATGGTTTCTGTGAGGTGTGTGGTTGAAATCGTCAAGAGGGAGTGCACAATAGTAGTATTTGTGAGCGTATTGAAAGTATGCTTTAGGAGAACACTTAATCAAAGCCTCGTGTTCGCCTTTTAGGAAAAAACAGTGCAGGCATGTTTCTTTTTGGGAAATAAACTTTAGCAAGTCTCACAGGTGTGTAGAAAGTGCAAGATTTTTTTAAAATTTTAATTATGATTCTATCCGACTGGAAGGATGGACACAAAATCAAGGGGGGCTAACGATTTTCGAGGTATCGCGATACACTGTATAGACGTTAAACAGTACTCATAAGACCGCTGAGAACTCTTCTACAGTCCAGTAGAATATGAGATTGACAAACTCGGGAACTCCACCAAGAAAGGCGAAACTGGCCGTGAGCTGTTGGAGAGTTTTCAGAAAACGTATAAGTAGCGTTTCACGTCTATGCAAGTTGGAATGTAGTTTACAAACAGTTGGTCGTCGCTTAGTAACGCCGTCAAAAGAGACCATAAAGAGGTGATCTAGTGGCGCCTACTGGATGATGGCCCTTTTAAACA